CTCTCTCTCTCTCTCTCTCTCGCCTCTTCAGTAAACCTCGCTACCGCATCGGGTGGCTGGAGCTAGGAGAAGCCGTCCTGGAGCTGGTTTTAAAGGTAATTAGAGTCTTGTCTCTTTAATTTAAAATTCCCTAACGTTTTACTCATGATTCGAACCTTCTTTAATGAAGCCAGCGCTGGTCACTTGGCAGACTTACCAGTCTTCAAATATAGTACAGGAAATAAAGGATAAAAGACCTCTTTCCTCCTGTTTTTGTGCTGGGGACTGAACCCAGGGGTGCTATACATTGAGCTGCACTCGAGCCCTTTTACTTTTTTGAGACATGGTCTCGCAAATTTGCTGAGACTGGCCTACGACTTATGATCTTCCTGACTCAGCTTCCTGAGTCCCTGGGATTACAGGGGTATGCCACTGGGTACAGCTAAAAGGGTTTTTAAAAAATGGGGAACTCCAATAACTGGAACCACATCTAAATACACCTTAGGGTTAGGCTCTGACAGCCCCTTTTCTGCAGGAACACCTGAAACCCTTGAAGGTTACAATATGCCTTTCTGATATCTAATCATAACGTGTCATTCTAAAATTGGGAACAGATTCTTAAGGGGAAAGTTTTTAACTTAATACTAAGTCTCAAATATTCTCTGGCTCCTGAAGGCCAACAGAGGGAAAATAGAACCAAAGCAAAAGACCTGGCTGCCTCAAACAGGATTCTATTTCCTTACTTCTACCTAATGACTGGTATACTGCTTTGTGCCAGGCACCACTCAGAAGCCACAGCAATGACCACACTGCGTTTCTTAAAGCCACCCGTGATGCTCCCATCCTGGAGGCAGAAGTCCAGAGTTGGTTTCACTGGGCCCAGTCAAGGTGTCGGCAGAGCCAAGCTTCCTCTGGAGGCTCAGGGAGAACCTCGGCTTCCTTGCTGCTGTCGCCCCTCACCCTCAGCTAGCTGCTGCAGCACTCCACCTCTCCCACCCCCACAGGGCACCCCAGCGTGTGTCAGTTATCCCTCTACTTCACATAAGGCACCTGTGATGGCACTGAGGACCCACATGAGAACAATCTTCCCATATCGAGACTGCTGAAGACCCTGCAAAGGCCCTTCCACCAGATAAGTTCCTGTCTACAAGTTTCTGAGACTCCTTGGACTAAGCATCTTTGGGGGACCAGTTTTCATCCTGCCACAAAGCCATCTGGCTAATAGGGACTCCCCTACAGTGATATCCCCATTCAGGTTTGGGCAGGACTCCTATGGAGAGAGCCTTTATCTGTGACCTCATCAAAGGATAGGAAGGCAGACATCGGGCAATACAAGGAGCCCTTTGTCAGGCAGCCTGCAATGAAGCACACCGCCCTCCTGGAGCTGCCAGGCCTCTGGGCTGCCCTGGACCATATCTCTGCACCAGCCAAGAGGCAAGACTGGGCGCAGCTTTGAAGATTCCCTTGCAACATCCAAAGAATGCTGTTGAACCCCTCCCAGTTTCCCAGAAGACGCCTGGCACAGACAAACCCAGCAGGGACACCAAGCAAGCACCTGCCCAGAGGTGAGCCTCTACCTTCTGTCCCTGGGCTATGCCTTGAACTCAAGGTCAGAACCCTCACTGCATGCTCCCAGTCGTGCTGAATCCCCCAACTTCCCTCTCCTGCCCTGCCCTCTCTCCTGCCCCTGTGGTCCTGACTTCCAAGCCAGGACTTCTGACTTTTAAAAACATTTTATTGTGTTGTGTGACTTTTTATAAAGCAGAATTAAATAACTTTGGAAACAAAGGTGGCATGTTGGTGATCCCAGTCCACTTAAGATAAATGAGTGTCCATGGGTTGCCCCTCTGCACTGGAGCACTGCCCTCCAGAGGACAGGCTCCGGCTCCCTCCAGAGATGGCAGAGGAGCTCTGTCCCCAGAGACACACAATGCACAGGCACCACCTGCCAAGGAACCATGGGTGCCAAGGGGTGCTGCCAAAGCCCGCACAGTCTTGTTGAAGCTTCCCAGTTGACCCTCAACATGGTCAGACTGACCTAAGTGCTATCTCATGGTAAAGAAGGGCCAGCCTCAGATAAATAGGATCCCACAGGTGACTGGACCTGCTGCTTTTGACTTCCTGTCCCTGAAGAATCATCTTGTCAAAGGGTGAAGGCAGCTTACTGGCACCCTTCACAGTAACTACTGTCAGCAGAGGAACTGAGCAGGGTGCCCTCTGCCAGTGTGGCCCAGTTCCTGAGGCCTGGCATGCTCTGCTCCTAAGTCAGGCTGTACTTCCCAGTATCATCCTGAAGGAGGCACCGGTGAGCACTCATCACACTGGAAGGAAGAAGGCAGGGGACTGGACAAAGTCCAGACCTTGCTGCAGATGGCGGCCTGTTACTAATAAGAGGGCTGCTGAAGCTTGACAGAGGATGGAAGCTGTTTCGAGATGCAGCATTTAACAGCAAGAAACACTGCTTTTCTTTCCACATGTTTGTTTGTACTAGCATTCTGGTCATGAAAGGGGATTTTGCTTTGGATTCTGCATTGAGAACAAAGTAACACACAACACAGTTTGAGCATTTTATCCTCGTGTTTAACAGTGTAGTTCTCATAAAGTATTTTAATAAATATATGAAGGCTCAAGATAACCACTGTTTGGAGGGGAAAGTGGTTTGCTTTCCCACATACTAGTTTATGTTCAGGGTCATTTAAAATGAACACAGTCACCATCCAGGGACTATGCAAACACTGGCCTGCCCAGGTTTGTTTTTTTTCCCACTCAATGTATCTTGGTATTATCTTCCTTCCTCCTACACCAGAGGGACAAAATGGTCAAGTTCTAGCAGGCTGCGAGAACGCCATGATGGCTGAGGCGAAAATGTTTGCCTTCTTGACAAAAGGCTTCCGTGGAGTTACCTGGACCATCAGTGATGCAGCATGAAAATAAAGCTGAACAAAGAGGCTCCACCACTTGTTAAACAGTAAGAAGTGCCGCTGACTAGGCTGGGGAAGGGCAGAGGAATGGCTTCATCCATCCCCAACTGGAAGCATGACCCTCATGGAGGAGATGCCAGTGACCTGTCTGTAAGGAGTGACTCAGGCCTCCTGCAGGGCCTCTTGTCCCAAGAACCTCCAGCAGGGGTGTCTGCACCCAACACAAGCTGCCAAAGCATTCTTAGCACCTCAGGGTCACTCAAGCAGATCACCACTGCGCAGCAATGGACTCCCCTTGAAGTCCCACGTGGCCAAGGACTGTCCACAGTGGACAGGCTAAACACATTTTTGCAAGAAGAGCAGCAGATGCTGACAGTGGGTCCAGTTTGAAGCCACCACCACCCGAGGCCCTAGATGGACTCTAAAATCCAGTCACTGCCAGAGAGGTGGGGCACAGGCAGGGGCAAGCTCCCAGGAGGGCCTCCATCCTGGCCTTCACGGAGGGAGCTCTGGTCCTGGAAACCCTCTTCTTCCTCGTCAGAGAAGCCGTTCTCCAGTGCACACGTGCAGTCAGGGCTGGAGGACGCCTGGCACGCACCCTTGTACTCCTGAATTGACTCGTAGAGGCTGTATAGCTGGCAGAGCAAAGACACGTCCAGCTGCCGGAGGCCAACCTAAGGGAAGGCAGGAGGCAAAACAAGTCAGCACGCCTGGTCAGCTATCTGCCGAGGCCAGCTCAGTCCTCCCACACAGAAACAGAGCCATATCTCGCGGAGACTGGGGTCTCCAGTTTGGAGAACACCTTCCTGTGTCAGGCCCACCCACAGCCTGGGGAGGAGCACCACTGTGAAGTGGTGAGCCCAGCCTGCGAAGTTTGCTGTGGCACTCCAGCTGGCTGCACCAGGCACACCAAGCCACAGGTCATTTCCTCCCAGCCACCAGACTCAGAAGATCCTCGTCTGCTTTCCCTGTCAGTATGTTAGGATCTGAGCACCGCAGTCACAGCTCCCGGGGTTGGAATGCAGCCACCCTGCAGCACCCACCTCCAAACCAGCTCAGCCCCAGGTTTACCAGAGGACCCTTGGAGGCCAGACACCCTCTGCTCCAGAGTTGTGGGATCCCTCCCCAAACAACCGGCTGACCATGAAGAAACCCAGTAACAATGGAATATGACTCATCCATAAAAAAGAATGACTTTGAGCTGGGCGCAGTGGAACACAGCCTGTATCCCAACAGCTCTGGAGGCTGAGGCAGGAGGATTGCAAGTCCAAAGCCAGCCTCAGCAGAAAGCAAGGCGCTAAGCAACTCAGTGAGACCCTATCTCTAAATAAACTACAAAATTGGTCTGGGGATGTGGCTCGGTTTTCCTGTGCCCTGGTTCAATCCTGGTACCCCCCCTTCCACACACACACAGGCAAAAAGAATGACTTTATGACTTTTTATGGTAAATGAATGATCTAGAGACGATCATGCTTAGTGAAATAAGCCAATTCCTCCCAAAAACTAAAGGCTGAATTTTTCTCTGGTATGTGAATAAGGTAGGGAGTAAAGAAAAGAAGTTCATTGGATTAGACAAAAGAGTAATAAAGGGAAGAGAGGGGACAGGAATAGGAAAGACAGTGGAATTAATTAGATATAACTTGGACTGGAGTCATAGCTCAGAGGTAGAGCCCTCCCCTACCATGTGTGAAGCCCTGGGTTTGATCCTCAGCACCACATATAAATAAGTAAAAATAAAGATATTAAAAATATATTTTATAGGGACTGGGGTTATGGCTCAGTGGTACAGTGTTTGCCTCTCATGTATGAGGCACTGGGTTCGATCCTCAGCACCACATAAATATAAAATAAAAATATAAAATATAAATATATTATAAAAAAAATTAGACATAACTTTCCTATGTTTATACATGAATACACAACCAGGGTAACTCCACATCATGTACATCACAAGAATGTGATCTTAATTAGAGTAAAATATACTCCATGTATGTATAGTATGTCAAAATACCATCACATATATCTAAAAAGAAAATGAAAAATTTTTTTAAAAAGCAGCAGCCCGGTAAGATGCAGCTGACAGCTTCCCCTGGAAACACGTTCCACAAAAACAAGTGGTGACTGGGGACAGCGGTACATACCAGGAATCCCAGCAGCTCGGGAGGCTAAGGCAGGAGGATCATGAGTTCAAAGCCAGCCTCAGCAACTCAGCTAAAAAAATATATATTTTTTTCTAAAAAAGGGCTGGGGGGCTGGGGCCATAGCTCAGTTGGTAGAGCACTTGCCTTGCATGCTTGAGGCCCTGGGTTCAATCTCCAGCACCAAAAAATCAAAATGGCTGGGAATGTGGCTCAGTGGTTAAGCACTCCTGGCTTCAATCCTCAGTACAAAAAAAAAAAAAAAAAAGTGGTAACCGAATAAGGGACACATCTTCAAGTTCCTCCCTTCCCACTGCCTACCCAGGGAAGGCAGCTAGGGTAGGAAAGGAACTATTTCTATCAATCCAAGACAGAAGCTCTTCATGTGCTTGAAAATGCAGGGGAGCCCAGTACACCTGAATCCTCAGTGTGCTCAGGAACCATACAGGAACCCTGCCCAACACATAGCTCCATTCAGCAGCTGGGGCTGCTGGAAGCCACGGGCGACGCTGACCACACCTAGGGGACAGCCCTAAAGATGCATAAAGCAGGGGAGCCCTGCATCCTCTCTCACTCCCAGTCCAGCTACTTGGACTCTGCTGGGAGGTCTATATGAAGCCCAGTCCCCATTAACAGACACTGCCTGCATGCTAAGGCCCCTTACACATGGACATAGCCCACAAAGAGGCAGATGGCATGCAAAAATGGCTTCCTTACCCAGCACGAAATTCTCCAGGTAAGAGTCTGACTTTCATAAAGGAAGCTGGAGCCCAGTTAAAAATCGATATTCTTGAGATGAGATTGGGTGTTAAACTGAAGGTCATTCTTTACACCCTTCAATCACTCCCAGCCACCAGGCAAATTCTGGCTGGCTTCTGAATAGACCAGACATAGCACTGTAGCTGTGGGGACGCACACCTATCCCAGCTCTGAGGAGACTACGGAAGGAAGACTGCAAGTTGGAGGCCAGCCTGGGTCTTTATTCAAGACCCTATCTTGAATAAAATAAAAAGGGCAGAGGACGTAGTTCAGTTGGAGCACTTGTCTATTCTCATGTGCCTAAGGCCCTGGGTCCAACCTCGTACAGAAAAAGAAATAAGAAAGGAGCTGTGTCTGACCAGCCCCAAGGGCAACCTTCTAGACTTTCAGACAGGCCGTCCTGCTGTCACTCTGGCACCTCATGGGCCTAGAACTCCTGGAGAAGCCTCCCCCAGGCCCAGTCCTGTCTTTCTCTGCTTAAGTCCACACCCTCAGTGGGTCTGTAAATATGAGACCCAGTGCCTGGGTAAACTGTCCTAAGAAGCGACTCCGCCCAGTGGCAGCCTGCCCTCAGGCAGCCTCCCAGGTGAGCCAATGGCAAGCCTGGGGGCACCAAGCCCCCAAATCTGGGTCAGACACGGTAGGTTGCCCTCCTTACTGAAGCCTGGGTGTGCATACCCGTCAGGAAGAGCGGTGCTGGCCTGGAGCTTCACCGGTGACTGATACCCATCCCTGCCAAGAACCAGCATCTCCACACAGAGGCCTCTGTCTTTCCTGAGCCACTGACATTTACACTGCTCCCAGGATGGCATTTGAGGCTACAAAGAGCAGAAGAGCAGACTGAACACTGCCCGCTGGCACTCTGCCAACAGTGGACAGAGTGCCCGGCCCTGCCCTCCTACTGTGATGAGGCAGGCGTGTATGTGCAGCTCTACCAGCAGAGCAGAGCAGCAGCACTGGGTGGGAAAGGAGCCCGGGCACCCAGAAGTGCCCTGGGTCACCCTGGGCAGGAGACAGTCAGCGTAGCAAACAGGATAAAAATCACCAGCAACATGGTACCTGGAGACCCCGGTCTGAAAGGACCTGGATGTTCTGCCTCTGACTCCACACGCCGACCCTCCGAGCGAGTCGAGGCCTCCAAAAGCCCTGCTGTGCTGGGTCCTGTCTCCAGCACCCTGGTGTTAGGTACCACCTTGTTGCTCTCTCCTATCCACCCTTTAAATACCTGGAGGCGGGGTTCAGTCCACACCCTTACACCTAACAGACCAGCTAACTCATCTCTCCAAACTAGGTACCTCGGGTCCTGCCACTACTTTCACAGGATGCTCTGGTCTGCTGACCACCAAGTCCTTCCTCCAAACTGGCTCCTGCTTCCGGAGATTCCTTTCAAGATACAAGCCCTGCACACAGATCCTGACTCGGCAAGCCCCAGAGCACTGACCTCTTCTAGGGCTAGTATGAGGGAACAATGGAACTTCAGCAACACCACACCCACCCAGAGTCACACTAGCAAGACTAGGGACAAGGCTTGCTTCCACTGAGTGATTCTGACACCATCAGGGTAAGGGTGCGAGACTCTACTCCCACCTCAGGGCAGACCAGAGTCACCCAGGATCACCAGTAGCGTGCTGACCTCCACCCTCCCAGGGTCCCTGGTGTGCTTGGGAGAGGCAGGTGCCTGGGCTCCAAGGCGAGACGGCCCCTTGGTGAGTGAAGGCTCTGCCTTTCCCCTCCTGTGACACAGGTGTGGTTCTAGGTGGTTCTAGGCTTTCCAAGGTCTGCCCGGAGCCCCAAGTGGGCCGGCAGCAGTGAGCTGGAAGCAGAGGACGGTGCTGGGACTTCTCAGTGCCATAGTACCAGATGACTCAAAGCTGCCCTGTCATGGGTGGGACACTGGCCTAGAAAGGAAGGTGTTACCCGCCTAGGAATGCAGGTCTGTCCTGTCCATACCTGCAACACAGGTGACCACGCGCCAAGCACTAGGCCGCCAGCAAGGACACACACACCCTGCAACATCTCCAGGCACCCAGACTTCCCTGACTTAGCAGAAATCCTTAGAAATAGCTATGGGGGCAGCCCTGATTTCCTGTCAGAACACCTCCTGCTGGCTGCTGAACAAGGTCACTCCATCTTCTCAGGGAGCGGGAACTCGCTGGGCAGCGTTCCATCATGGTCAGATGACTCTTCGGCTGTGTCCCTACTCGCCACTGCACCCACATGCACCAGTCAGGTTGAGGCCCCTTCACCCAGACTAGCCCCAGGTGTCCGCTCCACACAAGCCAGATCCTCTGGGACCACCTGGCCCAGCAACGGCACCCCGCTGCTAGTGACTGGCTCAGCCAGTATTCAGCCCTTTCCTCCTGGGATGTCTTGGAGCATTCCTGGTTCTCCACCTTATGCTCCAGGTGTGCAGATGGGTCTCCTTCCTCCTGCCACAGGTCAAGCTGCTTTAAGGAAGTGACTCACATCCTTCTGGGAGTCCTCAGCCACCAGCCTGGAGCTCGAAGTATGGACATGCAGATACCAGGTGCCTCAGTGTACACCCGGCTACAGAGAGCTCAGGTTGTATGGCTGCAGAAGTAGCCTGGCCAGTCCTACCATGGGCTGTGCAGAGATCCTGGCCACACCCCAAGGCAGTCATAGAAGCATCAGCTGAAGAGGAAGCCCTCTGTGCCCAGTGCACCCTGAGGTGCTCCTATAGAGAGCATCCGGCTTCTGAGTGCCCGCACAGTTCGCATGGCATCAAAGAACACCTCTTGCCTGAGCAGCAGATGCCAAGATTCCTCCAGCAGAGGTCTGGGGCACAAGAGGGGAGAGAGGGCCATCCCAGGAGCAAACTACAGGAAACGAACAGCCCAGAGCAAGAACTTGCCCAAAATCTAGTCCATGGACACAGTGCAGTCCTAGCTACTGGGGGGCGGGGGGGGAAGCACTGCCCTCATCCACAGCTGGATTCGGAAAATACAGCTCTTTTCCAAAAGCATGAGCTTTGAAATTCAGAAAGGCTCATTAAAAGAAAAATACAGAATTGTCAGACTCTGCAATATACATCCTTAATTCCAGACTCCAAGATGGGACAACCAATTAGCATCCACTGCTGTAAGCTGCTGGCGTCCTTCCTCTTTCCTGTCCAGGCTTCCTGCTTCCTTCCTGGCCATTCTCTCCACTTCCACGTGGGGCTCCCTTCACCCTGCTACCTTGGCCACAGGAGGCTCCTCAGCCACAGAATTCCCACGATCAGGCCCCACTGTTCTGAGCCAGACTCCTGCCTCCTCGCCGTGGCACAGGCTCGAGCAGGAGTGTGCTTCAGGCAGGGAAGTGGCTCCCAGCTAGGGTCCCCATAGGTCTCTGAACACTTCCTGGGCTGCAGGGGGCAGGGGTTCTTCCCAGCTTGTGAAAGACACAGTAGAGACACTGCCACTAGGCGACAAAAGGAAGATTTTTATTTTCTCTTTTTCCAGGACCAGGATTGAACCCAGACAGGGGACACTCTATCATTTAGCCACAACAACATGGGCTGGGGTTGTGGCTCAGCAGTAGAGCGCCTTCCTTGCACACGTGAGGCACTGGGTTCGATCCTCAGCACCACATAAAAATAAATAACGATATTGTGTCCATCTACAACTAAAAAAAAAAAAAAAATTAAAAAAAAACTCATGAAAAACTTTAAGGTGTCTTTTAGAAAAGAAACTAAAAATAAAAGTTGGGGCAATTCATATTTGTATTTAAGAGATACAAACAAGAGACTTCTTCCCCATCACAGTGGAGTTGAATTGAGGCCAGCACACCAGGAGACGGCAGCAACTGGTGAGGTGACAGCTGGTCTCAGCGGGTCACACCGGGAACCCACCCTCTCCATGACTCCTCCACCCACGCTGCAATCGCCAGGTCCAGAGGCTGGCACAACCATACAACCACATTAAGGCACCATGCCAGAGGGGGGAGTTCCGTCTGTGGGGTGCAGCTGAGGAGCACGTCCAGCCCCACAGGCCACTAAGAGGGGCACGTGCAAGGCTCACACGTACGTACACACATGTGTAAGCTGTGTCAGGACTTCTGAGATGTGGCACTGGATGAAGAAGCCTCACTTGTCCCTGTTACAGCCTCTGCACTGCTTAGCCTTTTCCCCAACAAGCACATTTCTCTTGAGTTTAAAACTCCTAGTAATAAGAAGAAAACACACAGTGGACGCACACAGCTAGCAGGACCAAGTACTACAAGCCCTTTCTGGAGAACTGACTGGCCGTATCTATCCAAAGCCTTGAAAATATGCCATATCTTTGAATTAGCTAAGGTTTTGTTGGAGAGAAAAAAAAAAGTCTCTATTGTACAGAAATATATCTTCCTCGTCCTTGTCCTATGAGGCAGTACTGATTCTAGTAAGATGGACCCTGGCCTGTGGCCATTCAGCAGCAGAGCAGGAGCTACCCCAGATCTGCAGGACCCTGGTCCACTTGTAGGAAGACCCGAAGCAAGAAGCCCCAAGGTTAGCAGGACTTCTGCAAACTGCTGGGATCACTGCAATTTTTACTTTTGGTTTTTCTGAATTTTCTAGATTTTCTACAGGTATTAACTTACGAGAGACCCTTTACTATTACCTTTTAGAAATGCGATGAATAAGAAAGCATACACAGATGGTTTAGAAAAGATGTAGCAAATGCTCAAAATCTAATCCAGGTGCCCAGTGTATGTCCACAGGACTGGACTGTGACTGAAGGAGGCGGAGCCCTACCTGGTGGTAATCTGATTCCTGGTAAACTAGGGTTGACAGAAGGGTGTTGACCTATGTACTGTTTAGAAAAGGAGAGCAAAGAGGAGGACTTGACTGGTGTTGATGTAGCAGGGAAGGACTACTGATCCAGCCACCGACACTGGTTAGAAACAAACGCCTGGTTGCCCTGCATTCCCCTGGGCCTCCACGACTGCAGCCTGCTCCCACAGGTGGAAGCACACGGACGTCCCCTGGTCAGCTTCACTTCCTGTGGACATGTCATCCACCAGGGTGGGACTAGCCTGAGAAGAACCATGGTGATTCTGACGAGAGAAGCCAGGGTGACTGAGCCCCCAAATTAGGACAAACTCAGAGTTTGTCAAACCCCTACCCCATCTGTGGGCCTTTCTGCTTGCTGACTTAGGTTGATGACGTCCAGAGACACAGGACAGGATCCTCGTAAGCCCCTCTTGTTATCTCCAATGGCAGCACAAATAAGCCTGCTTCCTTTCCTTCTGTCCTAGACAGAGAGAAAAGCAACTGCCATTTTTTTTACTATACCTTTTTTTATGTTTATTTTTTATTCTATCTGTTGCTAATCTTTAAGAGATTGCAATTAAATTCATATTAAAAGAAAAAATACACAGATAACCTAGAACTTACGAAAATATAATGCAGAATCAAGTATATTGAACAATATACAAAAGATTCAAAGGAAAACATTAATTCCAAAAATGATCTATTATATGGATCTGAAAAACATTTAGGAAATAATATAAAAGTAATTTTATAGAAATATAAAGTAAATTATTGATGAGATAATATGGAGAACAATTTGAAAGACTTTCCCCAAATTTACAGGATAAAGATGAAAATTAACAGAGAAAAAATGCAAGTATATCTATGAAGACCATAAACTGGCAATTTAAAACGCAGATTATTGGTGATTACTTAAAGAACAGAACAAATAGTACAAAAGTAGTAGCCACAATTACAGGGCAGATTACTTTGGGATCAAAAAAAATTATACTGCATATATAATGAAAAAAATCACTGGGTTACATACAACATAATTCTTTTTTTAGAAAAATATTTGAATTTTTTTAATTAACTTTTTATTTATATATGACAGTGGAATGCATTACAATTCTTATTACACATAAAGAGAACAATTTTTCGTATCTCTGGTTGTATATAAAGTATATTCACACCAATTTGTGTCTTCATATAAAATACTTATTAATCCATTAAAAATAATAAACCCATCACATGCTACCAAACCCAGCACAATCTTTATAAACAGTAACATTTTTGTAAATACTTTTTAATGTCCAGCTCATCTGCTTCTTCATTTGGTCCTCTGGGACACGTGTTCTGGTCGAAATAAATGAAGAAAATCTGGCCCAGTGTGCACACGCGTGTGCGTGTGCGTGAGTGTGAGAAGAAAAAAGCATCCATGTAACAGCCTCCTCTAACTGCCTGTTCTGTGTTTCTCTATGCCAGCGGGGGACTGTGAACTCCAACCAACTTCCATCCTGCTACACTGAAACCACCAGTCTTGCGCTCTGAGTGGACATTGGAGTATCTAGCACAAGTCATATGAAAAATGTGGAAATGGGTTAGCCAAATTACACTCATCTTCCAAGTGCTAGTGCATGTCCTCAGATGAGAACAAAAAAGCCACATTTGTCACCATGACCACAACTGACTCATGGACCCCTGCAAGGACCTCAGAAACCCCCAGGAGTCCCCAGACCACATACTAAGAACCCCTGTTCTAAAGATACCCACCTGTAGCACCGCAGGCCTGTCCCTTAAGGTACCCTGCATGTCTACTTTGGATTCTGGCTGCTGTACCACAGGTACAAACTCGTGGGACCTATCCCATAGCTTACACTTCCACTGTGAGCACTGTTTCTAGGTCCTTACGTGAGAATGTCTCCATGGTGTTTTCAGCAACTGTTCAGCACTGTCACTACTTGACTATTATTAAAAGAAACCACCAATATGCACCAACCTACAAGTACTGCTCCTCACTCATGTGACCACCTCTGTGAGACACATTTGGAAATGTGAGATATCTGTGCGGAGGCAAGGAGGGAGAAGGATGTCGTCATCCTCTTGATCCCTCCCAGGCCCGGCCTCTAATCTGTAGAAGCTTTAAAATGTGTGTGATGATGGCAAGAATGAAGCCCACTGATCAGGCCAATGGACCTAGACCACTCTTAATCCCAGGGCAAGCGTATGTCCCTGCTGGTGGAAGAGTCCACAGGTAGCAGGAAGACAAGGTAATTGTGCTACAGACCCCAGTTACCCATATTTAAAGCCCCCTTGCAACTCTGACTTGCTATTCAGTAGAAGCCACTTTAGGGCTTTAAAAGGAAATGAAATTAAAGGGCATACACTCAGTTTCCTAAGTTTTACAAAACTGCCCTTCACAATAGGATGTGAGGCCCATCTCTCCAACCCTCAGGTCACTGTGATCATTCTCTTAAGTCCCTTCTTCAGGTACATGATGTGCTATAGTAACAAACTTCAGATGTACAGATAGCAAGGGATTTAAATGCCCCTCTTGTTTAACTTGGGTATTTTACCTCCAATTCTAACTACAACTGAGGGTCCCAAAGACCCTCCTGTGGTTATAAAGGTCATACTTGTCAGTGTTGACCTTATTGGAAATAAAAACAGGACTTTTGTTCACCCGTCTCATCAATCTAGTCAACCACTCAGGAACATGCCAGATACCCCTCTCGGCATTTCTAATCTCTAGTCATCCGGTCCCCATCCTCCCCCTCCCTCATCACCTTCTCCATGGGCATATGGGCTACTGGCAGGGACAGGCCAGGCATTCTGCAGTCCCAGAGCTCACCCTCCTCAACTGGGGAGCTCTGGTCAGAGGACAAATACTCTCCCTGCTCCCCAGGCCCTTCCCTGCAACACACACAAATGGAGATTCAGAATGCCCACAACTGCAAGACAGGCCATCTGTGGCTCTTAGGGCCAATCAAGGAAGTGAACACAGTATTTCCCAAAATGGAACAGGCCACATGTCTTAGTGAATGCTGTAGCCAGTAAGGCAGGCTTAGGGACTTCCTGCCTCCAGCATCTGAGGCAGAGCACCACCTCAAGGACAATCCCAGTGTTGAGCATCTGCAGGTAGGAGCACGGAAGGAACTCACAATCTTCACGGGAAAATGCAGATGGAGGTGGGACTCTTGCTAAAGGGTGGCACTGGAAAGGGGCAGACCTCTGCCGCCAGCCTCAGGGCTGGCTGCCTACTCACGAGGTCTGCAGTGTACATGTGCAGTTTCCCCCATGGGAATGTGAAAATGGCTTCTCGGAGGGAGTCGGTGTCTTGTGAGGTTCATGTTGGTCCTGCTGCTCCATGGTGGGCGTAACCCGGGAAGGCCAGGGTTCCCTCCTCCAGCCTGCTCTAAATATCCTTGCCCACCTGACCCCAGAGAGCTACAGCAACACCCATTAGAACCAGCACAGGCTGGGCTGTGGCTGTTGGGAGCACTGTGACCCTGACATGTGGCAGAAAGGGGGAAGGCTGTGAATCCAGGAGCGGACTGTCCAGTACCCTACAGGTGGGGAGGAAGCAGACACAAGTGTACAGAGGCACAGAGAAGCTTTTCAATCCTTTGGAGCCTCAAATCTTCAGAGTATATTCCTATGACCTCATCTGAGGGCCTATCTTTGGGGAATGCCCAGTCCTCAGACCTGTCATACAGTCCTTCTACATAGCCCTGTCCACATAGCCCAGTACCCAGTCCTGTCCACACAGTCCTGTCCACACAGTCCTGTCCACACAGTCCTGTCCACACGGCTTCCATTAAGAACATCCCCTCCTGGCCTCATTCCTCGCAGCTGGCCCAGGCTGTCCAGGCTGCCTCACATCCTTCTGCAGCTTGTACAAACTGGTCCTGTGCAGTAACCTGTCCTGTCCACATGGTCCTGTCCTAAACTGTGGCCAAAACTGACCATGGACATTGTCAGGGGTCAGGTTCCAGAGGAAGAACTACAGTAGCAGAGGGAGGCGAAGAGAACACCTCAGTGGATAGCGGGTCCAGTCTTTCTCTGAACACGTCCAGACCTTTCATAAGACTCTCCTTTTTCAAAAGCTAGTGCAGGTTGCAGTTCTATTATTATTAGAGTCTTCACCACATTGCCATAAAGATGCCACACCACCAGGTGTCAGAGGCTCTTTAACGTGTCCTCAAATCTTCCAGAATACCTTATAGACATTCACCCATTTAGGTTGAAAGTGACCTAAAATATTCTCTAGTGTAAAAATAACAGCAAATATTTTCCAGAGTGTCTTTTCAGTTATTGCTATTATAGGGCAGCAACCATTTGGCCCTTAAAGCTTTCCAAATGGGTCCTTCTGGACAGCTCAGTGTCTCAGTGATAGAGAAGTCACAGATGTAAGAGAGCTGGAACAGGGAGTGGTGGAACTTGGAGCAGAAACCACCACCCTGGGCCGCTCAAGGTGTCACCCAGCATGGGTCAGAGCCCTCTGCCACTTGAGGTGAGCCCTACCTTCTCAGCCCAGGAACCAGCTCCCCAGGCTCCACCCACCGCATCCCTGTCTCTCCTCTGAGATTTCATTTGCTCCCTCAGCCGCCACCAGTTCTTCAGCAATACCCAGGCCTAGGTCTTCTGTTGCACCTCCAGCTCCACACTCAGAAACTCTCAAACACCTAACACACTGGCACAATGGCCTGCCACCTTTCCCCAGAAAAAGAAGCAGCCACTCCTCCAAACTATCCCTGGGAGCCATGCCTTCCAAGGTTCAAGTGGCTCCTACTGCTGCCATACAAAGGCAGATGTGGCCTGGTGAATGTTTGCAAAAGGTACCTCCCAAAACACGCTGGCGAGCACAAGGTGATCCTAGTGTGTGGACAGTACAATACCACAATTAAACAGGGCCTTGGAGCCCTGCAGACCTAAAGGGACCTGTGAGCTTATGGGAAATAGGGTTAGCACCTCATTTCTTCTTTTTAAAATAAGAAATATAATAATATATAAGTCCCAATTCTATGGAAAATTATATGGATCGAGTAGGAAAACAATGTACAGAAAGCACTAATATTTTACCTATACAGGAGATATCCCAAAATATTAGCAACAATCATCAGTCAGTGCTATGACTGCAATTTTTCATTGTTTTGCTTAACTATACTTTCCATTAAAAAGCTTGTCATCTTTGGTTCCTTTTTATCACTTTTCCAGACCCTAACACTTTATCTGCAATTCCTGCAGCTTCTGCTTCCAAATAGTGGTTCCCACAGAATTGTTTTCTGGTAGAAGTCAACCCTCCTATGCACACCTGAGCCATCTCCCCAGGAGCCTCCCAGGTTTAGCTCAGCCTCCTGTACCCTCCAAGTGCAGCCAGGAGGGTGCCCTCCTGCTTCTGAGCACTCTCCTCCAACTGCAGCTCACAAGTGCCAGCTTACTGCCACCTTCCTTGGGCTCCTCTCCCCTGTGGCCAGGCCCCCCACACCTCCAGGACTGCAATCCTCCTGAAAAGAAGCCCTCTCCATTCCCCAACTTCCGCCTCCTTTCTGTGTTTGCAAGGGGCTTTTTCCTCAAGCATTTGGTCACATTCTCCCAAGACATCCAATTATGTCCTTTGTCACAGCTTTGACCTCAGGCCTTCAAATTAAATGGATCACCACAGACATTCTGCAGATGATTCAGGAGTGAACTCCCTTTCTTGTTTGGCAAGAACTCCCCAGTGGAGCCTTAGCATGAGTCGGCCATTGGGACCCCACTGCCCCAGGTCAGTAAACCTCTTTAAAAGCTCCCAAGACAGTACTTTTAAAGACCTTCTGACATTTCTTGAAATACCTAACCTAATCATAGCTAAATATCAGACAGACTAGAGAGAGCTGTTCATTAGGAGAGGAGCTCTGGTACAAGGCATAATCATGAGGTTGAGCTGTACTTGAGTCACACCAGGAGGGACCTGGAAAGTACTTTCTAGAATGGCCAGTGGGCTCCCAAGCCACCACAGCATGACTCCCCTGGGAGCATGTTTACAAACCAGAGCTTTAAAGAGGAGTGGCCCTGAGCCTTTCCTGCCTCCCATTCAAGAAAGGAACTTCAACACCAGGGTGGGTCTTCCTTTATCCCAAGGGCTTCTCTAAGTGACAGTTCAGGTTGTAAACACAGAGGGGCCCCTGTGTCTCATTAAAATGCAGTCATACCAGTGACACTTAATGTCTGTAAATAAATGAAAGTGGTTGGTGTGGAACACAAGTGTTCAGTAAAAAGCTTAGGGAATCTTTTTAGAATCAGAAATCACTTCAGTGCCAGCTGCAGAGTGGGACAATATCTAGTTGATTACAATGTGCTAAGGTTGCTTTCTGAATTCAGTTAAGCCTTTTCAGAACAGATATGCTCCTGGGAAACTATGCATAAATTCAATTCTCCTGAGCAAAATGTTAAACACATCAGATGCTTACTTAAAGATTCCTCTAACAACTTTTTGGCAAATTCAGTCTTTGGAAACCTGGCTCAGGAGAGGGAACACTGGACTGAGGTAAGAACAGACCAGAGGGGCTCCGAGGGCAGACAGAGGATTAGAAAGGAGGGAGTTTTCTGTCCCAGTTCCTCCGGCTAAGCCTGGGACAGAGAGCTTAGGGTGAGATTCCCTGCCCCAAATCTCTACTCTGCTTTCGTGGTCACCCTGTACCACTAACACCTACTACACTTTCCAGGTCTGAGAAAAACTAAATCCGGTTGTTGCGGGGCCCGACACCACCCGAGGAAGCACCGGGCTCCGCCCCGACGGTAGGACCACCACAACCTCGGGTCTGCAGACT